TAATTGCAAGTATATTTAAAAGCAAAAAAAATAGTGGATTTTAAAGTTAAGAATAGTTTTTTTAATGGCTCAATAGATTGTTATAATCTGTGTGCTCTCAACTGGCACATGGGAGCACAGCCACACACCACAAGCAGCTGCGGGTTCTGTGTGATTTCATATGAATTGATTGATTGACGCATAGCGTGTAGATGTTAGCGTGTGTGCAAACATGATCCCACATGTTAATGAGATGCTATACGGTATATTCTACTTTGAAGGAGGAAACTTCCTAAAAACAGTCTTGACTAAATCTCGCTTACCCTTTGCAAGCTTGATCATTCCTGGAAGAGAGATCATTGCTCGACCTTCACGACAACTTGGATAGCCTTCGACATCGTATGTCTGCAGTGTCAGTCCGCTGGTACGGATTGCAAGAGCTTCTGAATAAAAGATAAGCTCATCGAGCATTTTGTGTTGCGTTGAGCTCGTACCTTTAGTGTCAGCCAGTTCGATAACATTGTTTACGCCATCTACACATGGAGCTTTATCACCGCTTGGTTTTTCTGGTCTAAGTATGTCCAGTTCTTCCTTACTTACTGGTTCAAGCACTATGGGTTTGAATTTTTTGGACCGTTTTAGTTCCATATTCTTAGGCACAATCGGTGGTACAGCAAAGGCAAACGCAATCAAAGTCAAGAAGAGAATGACTCGGGACATCCTTAAAGAAAATAAAATGAATATACTATTTGAAAAAGAAGAATACACACAGGCAAGCTTTTATGAGGTTGCTCCAAGTCTCGCATCCAAATGCAGATTTGGAAAAGTTGTTGGCAATAGAATATGGTAGAATGTTCTAGGAGCCTTCACCAAAAGGTATATAAGCGCAAGTTGGATCAACCTAATATGTAGAGAAATTGACTTTTGCTTGAAGATATAACAACTGCCATTTTTTTAATAGGAGAATATTTTGTATATTTCTAAAATGGGGATAGATATGAAATAAAAAGCTTTTATAGACCAACGATGAAGTCTTTGAGAGAAACTGCTCATATACTTTATGATTTACTTGATCATGGCTTATATAGTGCAAATTTATCGAAAATTGTCCTTACATTAGCGGGTATGATTGACATGACACATACATAGACAACACTGATAGCTGCATCACACCATCTGCCCCAACTTCTATGAAAAAGGGCTAAGCGAGACTGTCAACAATTTTGCACTAACGCTTTCGGCTGCGGTAAAAGAAGTTTGACTGCAATCAAAATGTACAATGTTCTTGTGATTTTGGGATATTGTGAAATTGAGTAATATAAAAATGATTAAAATTGAAAATTCTGTAGCTTTATTTTATTACAAGAGTTTTTGCTTAGCTCAAAAGATGCAAAACTCAATGTGGCTCTTGGTGATTTGATAACTTTTTCAGATTTTGCGACGAATCACTGGAGAAAAAATTTGTTTTTTTTTCCAGATGCAGAATACGGCTCTGCTGATGTATAATGTATACAAGAAATTAGAGAAACAAGGACTGGTGCAGCGGTAAGTTGCTGGACTATAAAGAAAGCGGTCAAGAGACTCTTCTTGCATTTTTGTAAAATATTTCTATATTATATTTCTGCTTATTAAGGTTACACTTAAGATGAGGTTGACTTTTTTACGCAGTTTAACGTAATCAGCAATCATATAGTAAACTGATTTGGAAAAAAGATTTAGCTCTTATCATAACTAGTAGTCCTTAGGGACTTCAATATTTTTTTTACATTATCTCTATTCAGGTATCTGACTCGTTGAACTAGTTGCTCATATATTTTGGCACCACATTCCCAAAAATGCGAATTGCAATAAAATTAGCTAATCTATTGTTAATGGTAGAAGCTTTGAAATTCCTATTTCACCCCCCATTCAATCGATCCTACAGTCCAGTACTTTTCTTCGACACCGATGAAAGTGAAAGAGAAAAGTACGAACGTTAGAAGTGCAAACATGCAATTGTACGCAAACCCTTTACTTGTGTGTACAAACCGAAGTTCTTTTTTTTCCAAAATAAAAAAGGAGTTTCTTGGCTG